ACGCTCTTAACATGATGGTGAGCAGCTGGCCCTCTTTTATCCCCTCATCAGATCAGAGAACAGAAAACAGGCTACAGACACTTCCCTCTTACCTGCGGTCAGGCACGCCTTACTCTGCCTTGAACCTCCCACCCCCCTCCCCCCAGGCGGCACAAGCACACCACCCGCCCGTACTGGATGCCTCCCATGGGTCGGCACCCCGCTGGGCCTGTCACTGACATACCCCACCTCTGGGAAAGCACCTGGCATCTGGAGATTTTAGATCATTTCTTCGACGTCGCTAGGGCAGTGCGGGGGCAGGGCAGAACTTGGAGCTTTACTACTTCTTCTGTTAGTGGGGAATTCCTAACCTGGCACTATTGACACTTGGGGCAGGTGATTTCATGTTGTTGGGGATGCTGTAGGATGTTCAGCAGCATCCCTGTTCTCCACCAACTAGACGCTGGTAGTACTCCTCTCCACTCACCCCCTCTCCCCCGGTCTGACACCCAAAACTGTCTCCAGACAGCGCCAAATGTTCCCGGGGAACAAAATCCCCCGTGGTTGAAAACCATGGTCTTGGGACACTGGTGTGCGTAGGGCCAAGCACAGAGAAACCGTCCTGCCTTCTAGAAGTGTGTGCTTTAGCCACTGGATTATAGTGATAGAAGCTTACTGCTAGGTTGGGAAGACCTAGGGTAAAAATGCCATGAATTCCTCAGGGTCTAAGAACCAGCAGGCCAACCCCGATGCTCCATGGAGATCTGCTTGCCTGCACTGCTGCAGATTCCACTACAAAATTGTTTGCAAAAGTGGGGGTATAGCTCAGGGGGAGAGCATTTGACTGCAAAAATGTTTGCAAATGAATGGGCCTGTAATTGCTGATTTAGAGAGCTGCGTGCCAGTGTCTCACATCTTGAGCTCTGCGGTTGTGATCCTTGTTTCCCTTTCCTGTGGCAGAAATCTACAAGCGGAGCCCTGATCAGAACTCTTGATCAGGACTGAGCGAGATGCCGTGTACGACCTCAGAGCAAGAAACCAAGTTCACTGAAACACGGCACGAGGGCAGGTGCAGCCCATGGGGGGTGCTGGTTTCCTGTGCTTTGTACTGGGTAGGCCTGGGCGGTCCTCAGGCAGAAGTGGCAAGTGTCAGGGCACCTGTCATCTCCCTGCTGCAATTACCCTTCCTGGTCTTTCACATTAGTTTTTAAGGGAAGTTTTCTCATGCAAAATAACTCCTAGGAGCTCTGTCAAGAACTAAAAATAAATAAATAAATAAAACACAACCAAAACCTACTGCTCTCTCCGGAGGCCACGACAGGATGAGGGGTCTACTGCCTTTGTTGTTTTTGCCCGCACGGGCCAGACAGCAAGGCCATCGCTGGCCCTGGTGCCAGCCAGAGCCCTGTCAATGCTGCCTCCCCTGGGCTCCAAATCCAAGGCACCTGGAAGGGTTATTAGCAGGATTGGAACTCATCCCTCTGCTGGGACTGGATCATAATTACAGTAATTTTCTAACAGAGCTGGGCAGTAGGACTGTTTAATCAGCATTCGACTCCCTTGTGCTCCCAGCCCTCATCACTCAAGGAGAGGAGTGGGATGGCTCTTAAAGAGACAGTGCCCGCCTTTCAGCACTTTGAACAGATGTGCCCTAATTGGTAGAATATATCTAAGTCTCGTAGCTTATAGCAGGCAACCTGCATTGCCTCCAACAAACTGCCCTGGGCTCTCACTATTCTGGGCCTTCTGCTCAAGTGACTTGGGTCAGGCTGCCGGTGGGGCTGGCCTCCCCTACCAGCTTAGCCACCAGGGGAAGTCCATACACAGGGCTAGAGCACTTACGGAAGGATCTAAACTAGCTGGCCCCTTGGAAACGGATGGTCTGAAGGAAAAGGTGCTTGACGGAAGGAGGGACGCAAGAGCCATAGATTAAGAAATTTCGGCAGGAGGTTTCCCATAATCCAAAGATTACAGAAGCATCTCATGTTCCTGCACTTCTGGGGGAGAAAAAAAAAAAACCTTAAAAGACTTTCAGGTAGTCTCTTAATTCTCACACTCTGGCTTTCCCATGTCTATTTACTACTCCTGCCCCTTTTACTGCTGTGTAAATGCTCCCTTTTCTCTTCCTTTGCTGGTGGAAGTGGACCAGGTCTCCCCTGAATGGAAGGGAGTAAAATTATTCACTTTGCTCATTGAATCAGGAGCATTCTGTCTTCTAAAAAGTGTGGCTCTTGTTATCCTTTGGAGCATAAACTGTCCGTGTTTATTTGATGTTGAGACGTGAGGTTCCAGCTACCACTCCAAATCTAGCCATTTCTAAAGTGGAACTGGTTTTTCCCAAGAAGTTATTTCTCTAATAACATGCTAGCAGTGGCCCCTACTGCCCTGTTGGTAAGCCAAATGCATACGTGGTCTTTGTAGTGGTTCCTCAGCGTTGTGCACAGAAGAGAGCTAGGGCAGGGCGTAAATGAGAAGAGGTGAGTGGGGGGCTCCCAAAGTGGGGTGGGCACACCCTCAGGAAAGAAGGTAGAGTGGGGTGAGGAGAATAGGAAAGGGGGGGACACTCATCCACAATTCAAGGACAGGTTACTTTGAGCCAGGTGACATGCCCTCTACAGAGCTGAGTCCTGCTGGCAGAGGGCTGCCCAGGAAGGTTGCTTGGGATCAGTGCCCAGGCGTGACCGAGGAAGTCACCGTCCCTCGCAGCGCTGGTTATCTGCTTGGCTTCAGCTGCGTCTCAGCTGGCTGCTCACACAGAAATCTGCAGATGCCACCCCGGTCCCTGACTGAATGCTTCTGCGGCCTCCGTGAGGCAGGCCAGGCACTGGTCTATTTCCATTTCTCCCTTCGACCCCATTTCACATCCTCCTGGCTCACTGTCCTCCCCACCCCTAAGGTGTTGCGAATATAAACAAATTCACAAGCATGCAGTTAACTTAATGTCCGATCAGACTGTTAGAGTCACGATCACCTCACAAACTAAGCTACCAGAGAGGTGTCTAGGAATTGGTGGTGTGGATCTAAGGCCTCCACAGTCAGAAAGCTGAGGACTGCAGAGGGGCTCTGACTTCTGAGACAACTCCAAAAAGCTGTGCAAGTGGACTTGGACATTTTTTTTTTTTTTTTTTTTACCTTGAGTAGCAGTGGGTTTATTTTAGTTTAAAAATAAATGGGGGGGAGAGGGAGGGACAAACAAACACCCGGTCTTTCAGAGCTTGGAAAGTAACTCTCACATGAATATGCTCTCCCACCACCTAAACATGTTTTTTAGGGGGGGCTGGCTGGCTCAATCCGTAGAGCACGTGACTCTCAATTTTAGGGTTGTGAGTTTGAGCCCCATGTCAGGGGTAGAGTTTACTTTTAAAATAAATAAATTTTAACTAAGTAACTAAATAATAAATAAAAAACATGCTTTAAAAAAAAATTGTTCTTTTCAAAGTAGGCTCTATACCCAACGTGAGGCTTGAACTCATGACCTCGAGGACAAGAGTCACATGCTCTTCTGATTGAGCCAGACAGCCACCCCATAAAACCACAGTTTAGTTTCCTTAGCTAGAAAATGAGTCTAGTACTTGCCCTGCCTTCCTCACTGGACACTGAGGTCAAGTCAGAGGATGCAAAGGAGACTTGTTTTCATACAAGAAAACCTACCTCCCCCCCCTACACACACACACACACACACACACACACACACCCTTCCATCCACCAAACAAGATGAAAGCCATGAGCATGAGCACACTTATCCCGGGTAACAGGAGATACCAGACTTGGGCCACAGAAGCAGCAGTCAGAAAAAAGGTGACTACATCAGGCACAGAGCCCAGCTCAAATCTAAGTTCAAACGCAAAATACTTGAGTTCCACAAAAGCTGAGTACAGCTGGGCCAGCCCCTCTCCCCAGGGGCTCCCCAGTCTTCCCTACTGAGCTCACCAGCCCTGGTAGCCGGCCCTTAGCACACGCAGGGACGGAGTAAAACGTGACAGGCCAATAGCACTGCCTGCATGGAGAGGAAATTCTGGTTTTGCTGTTTTCCTGGCAACTCCAGGCCCGCATCAGAAAATCTCTTCCCCTCCCTTCTTAGGACATCTCCTCCCATGGCATACACTCAACTGTGCACAAGACGGTGCTGGGATGGCGCCTGGCCTTGGATTGACTGAGCTGCTGTGGTACGCACTGCTGGTAATGGATCATTAAAAAAGCCGGGAGTCAGAAAAATCGCATCCGTGTCTTTGAACGGCTCCTGCTGTCCCAGCAGCCTACCCTGCTGGCAGAACTAGCTGCTGAGCACCAACTCCAGGAAGAAAAGGAGCGAACAGAAGAAGGCCAACCCAGCTTGCTGTTTTTTGGCTGAGTAGGGAATTGACACAGACCACCTCCGGCTCCTGTCTGGAAGTTTCGAGATCAGAGAGCTTCAGGCACAGCTGGGTTCACAGCTGCACCATTTGGAGCATTGGACTCATTAATATTCATGAGTCATCCCCACCAATCGGCAGAGCGGATGCCATTAGCTTAGCATCTGTCGGGTTTTTGTGAGGGTTGCGTATGGAGTTTTTTTCCCCTTTTAAATGAACTTCTTTTGACATTTTGGATTTGCCTCTGTAGGTTTTCTAGCCTCGCCTTGCTCCGCTGCATCATATAAAGGAGAGACCCAGGGGAGGCGGGCAGGAAAGAGGGATGGGTCCCAGCCAGGGCTCTGCATCTGCCTGTTGACAAACTTTATTTCTCTTTCAGCACCTGGCACCTCAGACAGGCTGCGAGGACGGAAGCGGCAGCAGGTAAATTATCCCTAACAAGGTTCATGCCCACAAGTGCAAGAAAAGCCGGATCCTGGCTCTCCAGAAGACGACCCTTCCTCCAGCGGTGGACTAGCGCGGCACACACAGTGCCGGAGAGCTGCGGCCCCCGGCTCTGAACCGTTATTTCCACGCTGATAAATTCATGATTTATGAAAGCAACTACTGCCAGCCCTCCCTCCCTCCTCCTCTGCTACAGCTTGTTAGACACGAATGGCAACAACCGTCTTAAATACTTGGAATTTTATTTCAGGCCAAAGCCCCTCAACTCTGAACTAAATGCCATGACAGTCCCACAGCACAGGCTGGTATTAAAGGAGCCCGCAGACAGGGCGGGCTGGCCAGAGGAGGGGGGGGTGGGCGAGAGGAGAACCGCACGCCCACACCCACACCTAAGCGCCACGCAATGCACACCGCCAGCGGCACTGGGCTCCTAGCCGCTCGGCTCTCCACGGAGAGGAATTATGGCAGCAGGAGGGCAGAATGCCTCATTGTGTGAAGGCGTGTCGTTCCTCACCTCCATCCCCAGAGCCCTCTCTCCAGGCACAGACAAAGCCCTTGCGCGCCATTGGACTGAACATACGGCCTCCCTGCAACACAGCAACACAGCAGAGGGACACCGTGGTAGCTGAAGCCCCAGGGGCAGGAGGCTATTACTCAGGGAGAAGAGAAGGATTCAAAAAAGAAAGGAGCCCACGCTAACCGTGCAGAAAACACAGTCACATCTCTGCTTTGTAACCGGAAAAGACAGCGACAGCGCAGGACCCAGGACAGCCTTTTCTAAAACAAAACCCCGAGCCGTTGCCTTTCCTCGGGCTGTGACCGACCGCTTCTCTTCCGCAGATGGCCATGAGCTCAGGCCCCACGCGGTGAGACTGAGGTCTCAGGATATGCGGGAAACCCCGGCGACAGAGGAGTCACAGCACTGTTCCGTTCCGTGGGATTAGTGAAGGAAGGCAAGCGAGGGGGTGGGAGAATCAACATTCACCCCCTGGTCCACCAAAGGAGGCAGGCAAGAGGCCAGCCTCCCAGAAACAAAGTGCTCCAAGGGCCGCAGCAAAAACACAGCCCCCGGGAATACAACTACGCAAGTGTTTCTGTTGGGTCAGTATTCAACAGGACAGCTTAAAATCTGCCACTTGCAGGTCCCCAAAACCAGTCACCTGAGGCAATGCTCTCGGGTCCATTAACGAACATCTAAAGAAACTCAGCTCCCAGGGGAGTAAATATACCACCCCCCGCCCAGTGTTTCCGTGCAAAACCAACAGCCCGCGGGCCTTACGCCTACCTTACAACTGGACAGTGTTTAATCCTGCGGAGGAAGCCTGAGGAGCTATTGCGACCCGCCTCTGTGTAACCAACCTGAGCAGAGGCAACCGTAAGACACTAAGTGGCCCAACCGCCCACACCTACCCTGTGCCCGATCCCACCCCAGCAAGTCCCCTTGCCGCCTCGGAGCAGAACCCAGGGCTCAGACCAGAGCTCATTTCTCCACAACCGTTTCTAACTGCCCAGGGTCCAAAGGCACAGCATGGTCCCCTGCCATGGCCCTCCTCACTGGCTGAGGAGCAGACGTCCCCTCATCGGGTCTTGTAAAATCACAGCATGATGGCGAGGGGGAGGGTGGCAGAGGGGGGCTTTCCAAGGAAGGAGCTTCAGAGTCAACAACGGGAGCCCACACCTCGAAATGGTCCTTTTCTTCCCTGGGAGGTGGTGAGGGAGAGCTCCTCCTGCCCGATCGTGGAAGAAAGCAGCAACTGGGAAAGGACGGGACGGGAAAAAGAAGGGCATGAGCGGAGAAACAAAAATCAACAGATAAGCACAAGTGAACAAACAAACAAACGGTGGGCCGGCCATACAAATGGATTATTATTTGGCCATAAAAAGGAATTAAACACTGAAACCCCCTACAATACGGATGCATCTTGAAAACGCGGAGTCGAAGAAGCCAAGCACAAAAGACCACACCTCGTATGACTCTGCTTGTGTGAGATGTTCAGAACAGGCAAATCCACAGATGCAGAAAGTAAACTAGTGCTCATCAGGGGTTAGGAGTTTGGGAAAATGGGGAGTCACTGCTAATGGGTCCAAGGTTTCTTTGGGGATGATAAAAATTGGGGTTCTAAAATGGACTATGGTGACTGACGGTTGCACAGCTTTGTGAACAAATTAAAACTACATTAACTGTAACATTAAAAGGATGACTTTTAAAATATGTAAATTATAACTCAATAAAGTCACTTTTTTTTATAAGATTTTATTTTTAAGTAATGTCTAAACCCAATGTGAGGCTTGATCTCACAAACTCAAGATCGAGAGTCACGCGCTCCACTGACTGAGCCAGCCAGGTGCCCCAAAATTGTTACTTGAACAGGGCAGGAGTTGGGGGGGGGTGCCTGGGTGACTCAGTCAGTTGAGTGTCTAAATTCAGCTCAGGTCATGATCTCGAAGCTCAGGAGTTCGAGCCCCACATCGGGCTCGCTGCTGTCGGCTCAGAGCCCACTTCGGATCCTCTGTCCTCCCTCTCCCTCTGCCCCTCCCCTGCTCATGCTCTCTCTCTCTCTCTCTCAAAAATAAAATAACCATTTAAAAAATTAATTAATTAATTACATAAAATGGCGGGGAGAGAAATAAAGAACAGAATGAGAAAGTCTTCTTTTCCCCAAGTTTCAATAGGAGAGCCTGCTACCCAGGGACGAGGTAGCCCAGATGCTCAGACCCTAGCGCACAAGATGAGAAAACCATGCACAAGGGGAAGGAGGCCTCTCTGAAAGGCTACCAATGCCGTGACAGGACCTTCTCTATCCGACGGACACCTCACTGGCCCGGGCTACAGTAGTCCTAGCCCTCGGTGCCTCAGAAATGAGAGCTCCAGTACCTCTTAGGCTGGTCTCCTTTAGCCAGGTGAGAAGAACCCCGCCTCTCCTCCTGGACCCAGCCACAGTTTGACATAGCGTAGTGAAGAATGGCGTCAGAAACCGTCATGGGGCTTCGGCCCTGGACACAGGCTTCGATCTCAGGCACCGAGAGCTGGCTTTGCAGGAAGAGGTGTAACTGGCTGTCTGACAGGAGGACCACACTCTGCAGGACCCTGGGGAAAACACAGGATGTACAACACAGCATCACCCTGAGCAGCTGCCCTCCCCAGCCCCACTTGCTGAAGAGCTTCCGGCTTGAGGGAGCACTGAAGGTATGGGGGTGCGAGAAAGGCATCTACCATAGATGTGCCTGTCTATTCAAAGGGACCATCCTGCCTGGCCCCTTCCCCCTCCCCGCCCACCTGCACGAGGCAGGTGCTAGCCCACCACGCCCACTCACTTTTCCAGGAAGTGCTGCAGACCTTGCCGGCGCTTCTCAATGAACTCATCTGAGCTGCCAAAGAAGGTTGACTTCCCAGGAAGTTCAGGTACAGGGCTGTGGGGTCACATAATGTTGAACACCCAAGATGAGTGTGACATTAAAGACAGTCATTCCACCCCCTGAGCAAGGAAACCCCCTAAAAAGAGGCACAAATCAATACACATAGCTTTTAATAAGGTAGGGAGGGGGGCAAGGCTAATACCGACTGCGGGACATCCATGTGTCAGGCACCATCAGAGAAGTTAAGTAAATTTCCCGATGTCACACAGCTAGTAACCAGCAGAGTTGGTATTTGAATCACATCTATGACTTCAAAACTTCATTGCTGCTATACTACATTGTTTACAAAACCCACTCCCACCATCAGCTTTTAGGTTTTTTTTGTTTGTTTGTTTTTTAAGTGCATTATTTATTGTGAGAGAGGGGCAGAGAGAGAATCCCAAGCAGGCTCTGCACTGGAAGCATGGAGCCCGACACAGGGCTCGAACTCAAGAACCAAGAGATCATGACCTAAGCCAAAACCAAGAGCCACTTAACCAACTGAGCCATCCAGGCGCCCCTGTCAGCTCTTATTTTAAAAAGCAAAAAACTTGGGGTGCCAGGGTGGCTCAGTCAGTTAAGTGTCCAACGTCGGCTCAGGTCATGATCTCATGGTTCGTGAGTTTGAGGCCCGCATCAGACTCTCTGCTATCAACACAAGAGCCTGCTTCAGATCCTTGTCCCCCTTCTGTCTCTGCCCTTCTCTCATTCTCTCCCTCTCAAAAATAATAAATTTTTATAAATAAATTAAATAGATAGATAGATAGATAGATAGATAGATAGATAGATAGATAGATAAGAAGAAACCTGGACACGGAGATGTGGAGCCTGCTGGGTCCCTGCATGTAAATTAAGACCTACCTCCTCCAACCCAAGCAGGTCACATGCTTAGAATTTTCTAAAAGTAGTTGAGTTGTAGCAAGCCATCCACAAATTCTTTAAACCTCCCTAGCTTCTATTATGAACATGTTTTTTAAAAAAACAACAGGCCAGGGGCCCCTGGGTGGCTTAGTAGGGTAAGCATCCAACTTCGGCTCAGGTCAAGATCTCACAGCTCGTGAGTTCGAGTTCCGCATCCGGCTCTGTGCTGACAGCTCGGAGCCTGGAGCCTGCTTCGGATTCTGTGTCTCCCTCTCTCTCTGCCCCGTCCCCAACTCATATGCACGTGTGCATGTGTACACTCTCGCTCTCTCTAAAATAAATAGACTTAAAAAAAAAAAAAAAAAAAAAAAAAAACAGGCCAGGCAATAGGATGCAGGATCCATCAGAGGAAATCCCAACTGGCAATGAGGACCTGACCCATGACAGCGGCTTCATCAGTCCCACATGTTAACTAACCGGCTCGGGCACCCACAGGCCACCTGTCCCCAGAGCATTCTGTTCTAAACTGTCTCCAGTTTTAGGACTTATTTGGGATGGTATAAGTGAGGAGTGAACAATACTACTTTCCCTAAGTCTCTCAATCTGTTATGTCTCTCAGAAAATTTCTCTGCACAAAAAAGAAAAAAAAAATTAAGATTCTTTACAGGTCAAATGGACAGGAACACCACTGGTCACGTTAAGTCCAGGTGCTAACAGGTTTCTGATAACCAGTGACACGCACACATAAAATGCTAGCAGTACACTTGTTTAGCCCTGGATGAATATGCATATTAAAAAAGAAAACTATTTTTGATATTTGTATGACTTTGTTAGGTTAAAATACTAGAAATAAGAACTCTGTCTTTACTTTTTCCACTGACTTGAAAACATAATTTAAGAACACATTTCTCAATTTCCTAAGTGCCTGACACGTTGCCAGGTTTGTTTGTTTTTTATTGTAAACTCTGGTTCTCACATAAGCACCAGTCTCAGATCCAAGAAAGAAGCAGAAGCAAACTCACACTAAACCAGCATTTCTCTGTAGCTGCTTTCTCAGCCACACGAACTCACGGTAGCGGCGACGCACACAGGACGTCTTGGCGGTAAAGGCCTTGCTGTTGGTCTACAGGAGGAAGTACGTGAAAAAGAAAAAAACAGGTAGAAAAAGACCAAATTTACATGAACTCCCCATGGTCCCTCTGACGGAGGATCCAAGCCATCAGGCCTGATCAAGGGCTCTGACCAGAGCAAGGTGCCACCAGGCAGCTAGAAAGCAACTCTCACCCATTATCTCAAGTTCATGCCCCTCCTCCCTCCTTTTCTTCTGTCTCCGGACAGTCAAAATACCCACAAAAAGGTTCTGCCTCAGCACTAGCCCTCAGTGCTAGAGAGTGTTGATCCCAATGCAACAGTGTGATGCACTTACGTGGAGAAATATCTTATAATCCACATAAGAATTCCAGGAGCCCTCATTCTGCACGCGGGGGTCCTGAACACGCACAGTGATCACCTCCTGGAGGTAAGAAAGGCTCCTTCAGCTTCGGCTCAGCCACACAGTAAGGCAACTTTGACAACACAGGTGGCCAGATTTTTCCAGTCAGCACCAACTTTCATTCATTTATTCATTCAATTCAACAAGGATTTATTGACCACCCGCTATGTGTCAGACTCGGCTCTAAGGCACTGGGGGCAGAACGTGAACAAGAGAAAAAAATCCTTGCCCTCGTGAATGTGACATTCAACCATATTCCAACGAATGGAAAAGGTCAAAATGGAGTCTCATTTCCCTGCATGGCTTTACTATGGATTTCCTTCTCCTGCCTTTATTTTGAGCTCATCAGCACCCCCGAGGTATTACTGTCAGTACAATACCACGGAGCAATGATTTGCATCTTTTCCCAAATCCCACCAAACTTTTACCCACCTGTTTCCTGGAGACCACACGCTTACCTCCTGCTCTTGGTTTTCCAACATCCTACAGCAAAAGCCCATTGGAAGAAAACATCTGATAAGGGACAGAAGACAGGGCAACAATCACGGTTAGTATGCCTCTGTTCTTATCACTCTTCACCAAGGCAAAACCCTGAAAATTCTTAATTGAACCCCTGGGAAAACCCAGGCAACTTTTTTCGTTCTCGTGTAAAACTTAAGAGGAAGCAAAAAAATCCCCCCCCCCCCCGTCCCCCCACTGTAGCTCAGTGCCAAGCTAAAAACCCAGATGATTGGACTCCCTGTGCAGACCACTGCCAGAACCCTTAACTAGGCCACCTCCAGCCAAAGCAGGTTTGGGTCTGTGCACCTCCAGCAGCCAGAACAGGCAAGTTCAGCTGTAAAACCTCTGCTTGAGGATTGCAGGTGACAGTAGTGTCTCACCGGCACACACTACACACCCTAGCAAGTGAGCCTAACACTGCCCCCTCCTGGCGGTTTAGAGGCAACCACGCCCCACAAACACCAAGGCTTTTAAAAGTCTCTCTTTGTCTTGCTAACCCTACAGTCGCCTACCCAGAGGTAAATCATAGAGCTGGAGAGCTCCGGGAGCACCTGAGTGGGTTGCCCAGTGGCAACCTTCCTTTATCTAATCTGTTCTCCGGAACCCAAGCCAATGGCTCCCAATCATTTCCTCTCTCGACATGCTATCCGGTTTGTACCTCTGCCCAAGCACCCCACAGCTGCACACAGGTCGGCTCGGGATGTTTTCCGCTCCTTTGTAAAGATTCATTAAAGCCTAAGCCCCTGATTTCCCCCAGTGTGGCAGTTTACATGTGCAGCGACATCCCCCACTCCGACAAGGGGACCATGAAGCCTACAGCACAGGGTTACTCGAGTCCAAAGGGGCCCATGATGTCACCTTCTGTTAAAATACAGCACTAATCTTGTTACTCCTAGAACCACTCCAACAGCATCCACCCTGGCTGCCGCCTCCACCCCCTTCTCCTCTCTTAAGAGCAGAACAATAAGGTTTAATTTCCCTTTCCAATTTACCTTGAAATGAAAACTGACTTCAGCCAATATGTACTGCCAACAAATGACCCAGGCTGGCTCCTGGGAAAACAAGACTATCTCTAAGCTCTCCCTCTCCTCCCCACCCCCCATGCCCATTCACACACCCACTCATTTTTACAGTCCTACAATTAATTTGAAACACATTCTCTTATTAGTTCTGCCTTACCATTAGAAGAGTGTGTAATGAGTTTCTTTGTATTTTATGCTTTGCTAACACAAGGCTAACGTTTCAAGAGAAGGGGAGCTCATTTACACCACGAAATTAGCAGAGCAAACAACTTCCCCCATTCTTTCCAGAATACCAGAAGATCTCTCCACCCTAGCCACTGCACACAGAGACAAAACTGCGTGGTATGTGACAGGATTGGGCTACACTGTTGAGCAAACCAGAGTTTTTGTGACTGTAATACCCTCTTCGTATTCTGGCCGACAATCTGATTTTTCCATCTGATGAAATCACTGTCACAAAGGGGTCCTGAACTGAAAGGAAATTCCAATTCCGTAACGCCCAAAGTATAACATCTCCGATACAAGCAGTCATATGCCTGTGACAGAAAAGAACAGACCGACTAGCTGTGAACAGTTAACCACCTCAGATTTTTTAAAAAATAATAAAATTTTCTCTTCTCTTTTCAGCCATTTGGTAAACTGTCAGCACAGCAGCAGAGGGTTCAACATTCTGAAGTGTCTTTTTCACAAAAGTAACGATGGGAAAGATGAGGACAAGGAAATCAGTCATTCATACACTCAGTGGGGCTCAACACGTCTCCTGTGCCTTGAAAGGTTTGCCAAATTCAGGACCATAATTTAGTAATGAAATGGTCATCGTTCTGAGGCTCAAGTAGAATTTGTATAGGGCCCTCCACCACCTCCAAGTGCAAGTCCCTCTCCTTTCCTTTGGGGCTAAAACCACTTAGAAACAAATAGCTATCAACTCACTTAAAAAAAAAAAAATCCCAGCACCCCCCAATAGGCTGTATACTTAAATCTAACTTTAAAGGGCACCAACAAAGATTCAGTTGTAACTTGCCCTTAAAAACGCTAGACACTGGAACAAATACAAAAACCCAGACTCCAAATAATAATTTCTAGTAACTACTGTTCTCCATCAGCTTCCTCCGCACAGATGCCACTCCTCACAAGGAAATGCTCAGTTCTGCCTGTGAAGGGGAAGGAGGAAGTTCTTTAACTTTGGCTCGTGATCTGGGAGATGGATCCAGGTCATCTAAATAAGGGTAAGTCAGCGATCCTCTCAGCTACAGCTACGTATGCATCCCACTCCGCACTAACTGCATTTCCTGGGTCCTTTCAATCACATCCAAAGCTTCCTTTTCTTTCTCCATCTGTACCAGCACCAATATCTCCGGGAAGAATCCAGTTGTTTGCTTTATACAAAGCAGATTCCTTGTAAAGCTCTCCAGTGTCCTAACAATTCAAGGTAGTAATTCAAGGCTTTCCCACCATTTTCACCCCCATTTAAACTACTTCAAAAGGAGGTTAAAAACAAATTAAAAACACCGTAATCAAGTAGGTTAAGCATCTGACTCCTGATTTCAGTTCAGGTCATGCTCTCACAATTCCCGAGATCCAGCCAGGCGTCAGGCTCTGCGCTGATAGCCCGGACCCCGCTTAAGATTCTCTCTCTCTCTCCCACTCTCTCTCAAAATAAATGAAAAAACATTTATTTTACATCAGGTGATAAAAGTATATTGAGCCACCAATACTCCTATCCCTTCTTACTCATTCTTGAGCCCTTGGTGCCAGATGGCAACTCCAAAAGCTCTCCTGCCTAAACACCCACACGTGGTAGAGAATGCTCCCTTTTCTGACCAAGTTCTGTGTATTCCCAACCAAGCAGCTCCACTCCATCCTTCTGTCCATTTGTAATTTGCCACTCCTTACACATGGAAGGTAAATCACAAAAGCGACCACACTCTAGCAAGAACCGCCTCCATCCCCGTAAAATACTTGTCACTACTCCTACCCCTAGCCGTTTGGGTAATTGTCCCCAAACTCTTTAACTCTGACCACTCCCTCTCCATTCTTAACGAACTAGGAGCAAAAGGGCCCCATGACCCTTCTTCTCCTTTGGCGATTCAGCTTGGGGAGTGGAAAGGAAAGATGCTTTCTACTTTGAAAACAAATGGAAAAGCCGGGATTCCTTCCTTGGATCCGGAGCAAGCACCCGCCTTCATCCCGGGACGTGAGACAGCCTCTTCCCTAAAACGTCAAGCGAGAACCCCACCTCCAAGCGCCAGCCTGGACGCTCAAGCCTCACTGGAGAGCAGCGATCTGTCCCCGCGGTCCCGCCCACGACCCCTCACCTGAGAGCAGCACCCACTCCCCACAGCGACACCGCCAGCGCCGCACCATAGAGCCAGCCTCGGCTTCTCCTTCCGGGTAAGTGGCCGGTGCCCCGGTGCACGACGGGAGAAGGCTCCCGGCCACGCCAATCGCGGGTGCCCAGGACGCCCCGCCCCTGCAGGCCCGAGCTCTTAGTGGAGATTCCCGCTCCGGAGGCGGCGCGCTCGCTCCGCCCAGTCCCCGGCCGGAGTCCCGGCCCCCTGAGACTCACTCGGGACACTGGAGAGTGGACGCGGGTGAGGAGCGGTGAGTGGGCTCTGACTGCCAGTCCAGAGCCGTGTCCCGCTCGTCGTCGTCAGGCGCAGCCAATCAGCGGCCAGGGGGCGTCATTAAAGGTCCGAAAGAGGGTCCCCGGACCGGGAGATGTGAGGAGGTTGTCGCCTTCATTTCTGTCGGGCCGAGGGCCATCTGGAGTGTGGGAGGGTCGGGGAAGAAAACGCCCACATTCCTGGAATGTCTCAAAGTCCCGAGAGCTTCCCCATTTGAACCCACTGGGTTGCAGTTCCCCCGCGGAGTTATCAAGGGCGGGCGAACCCACTGACCAACTCACGTTGGTAAAACCAGGGATTGTCAGAGCGAAAACCGAACTGAGATGGCCCAGCAAACACCCGTTTGACTCGCGGAAACAAGCCCAAAGAAGAATCGCGCAGCTGGTTAGTAAAAAAGAAAATACGTTGGATATCATGATTTTTTTATGTTGTTGAAACGTCTGTTAACAACCTGTTTAAAGGTAATTTTTGCAAAGATAATAATGTCTAGGAAAAATGGTCACAAAATACAAGCTCTGGCTTTAGACGGCCTTGGTGCAATACCCAGCACTACACTGGACTGTGGGGGCTTAACCTGATCCTAAATCTTTTTAAGTCTTAGTCTCCTCATCTGTAGAATGGAGGTTATGCACAAACCTCGGAAAAGCTTTTCTCAAACATTTAGTCTCAGGATCCCTTTACATTTTTTTTTTTTTTTTTTTTTTTTTTTTTTTAGTAAAGTGTACGCCCAACGTGGGGTTCCAATTCACGACCCCAAGATCAAGAGTCCCACGTCCTGAGGACTGAACCAGCCAGGCACCCCAACATTGTTCAAAATTGGTTAAGAGTGTTTGTTTATGTGGGATATTCACTGGATTAGAAATTAAAATTGAGAAATTTAAGAACATGTATTAATTCACCTAAAATAATAATAAACCAATACATGTTAATATGTTTTATGAAATATAACTACACTTCCCCCCAAAAATTAGTAGAGTGTCATTGCATTACAATTTTGCAAATCTCTTTAACGTCTGGCATAATAGAAGACAGCTGGATTCCCATATTTCCTCCCCATTTTCTCTGATTTGCTATGTTATTTTGGTCTAGGAAATGAAGAAACTCCAGTCTCTCACAGATACATAGTTAGAAAAGGAAGGAGTATTTTTAGCCTTCTCCAATAACTGTGGATACTAGCAAAACTCAACAAACGGTAATTTCTTAAAGATTAATTGCAATGGGGAATCTGAAACCACTCAGAAAATATTGGTTTACTGAATTATGCAGATCTTCCAAATATTGATGCATTTCACTACTCAACATTAAAAAAAATCACATGCATTATAATCATTGATCTCATCACAAAAATCTTGGAAAGCTGTCAAGCTCACTTTGGTGGATACCAAGCACCTTTTCCAAAATTACAATTTTTTCTTGAAAGCTCAAATTTTATCATTGACAAAAGTACTTTAAGTCACTTTTCTTTCATGTGCCAGGCTCATTCCATTCAAATATGCAAGTCTGAATAACTATAGTTTCCCTGTCATTCTTTCAAGCAAAACTTGTGTCCTAAATTTTTTTTAGTGTGTATTTATTTATTTTTGAGAGAGAGAGACAGAGCACAAGCAGGGGAGGAGCAGAGAGAGAGGGAGACACAGAATTGGAACCGGCTCCTAGCTGTCAGGACAGAGCCCGACACGGGGCTCAAACTCAAACCCGTGCGATCATGACCTGAACCGAAACCTGACGCTCAACCGACTGAGCCACCCAGGTGCCCCACAAAACTTGTGTTCTAAAGTCCATGTCCGTACCGTCCTGAACACTCCCGATCTTGGAAACTAGCAGGGTAAGCCCTGGTTAGTACTTAGATGGGAAAAAATGGTGTTCTGTGCTCGTTCAGTTCACACATCTCAATCACACAACCATATACTTCAGTAAGTGGCAGAAGGGTTTTATGTAAAACTCCCATTTCATTACACAGAACATTTAAAAGATACATACTCCAGAAGAGAGATTTCACAAAATTAATTATTTGTACTGTTTCATAGTTTAAGTGAAAGTGTTTTTTCTTTTTTTAAGATTTTTAAGTAAACCGTATGCCTAACAGGGGGCTCAAATTTATAACCCTGGGATCAAGAGTCCCATGCTCTACTGAATGAGCCAGAGTAAACCAGCCAGGCACCCTGAAAGTGGCTTTTTTTTTTAATTTTTGAAAATGGCTTTTTAATTATTTTATTGCATAGGTGTGGCAGAAGAGAATACCATGAGTCTAGCACCTTGATTCACACTAAGGTGCCAGCCATCTCACCTGCTGTTGTCTTTGCACCATTAGTGAAAATGTAAACACAGTGAAAAAGCAAATCATGTCTTCATATTATCATGAAAATAGTTCTGACCTTGCAGACTCCCTGTAATTCTCTTAGGCACTCCCAGAGTCTGTGGATTACACTTGGAGAACCGCAGAGTATATCTGCAGAATGTATCCATTCATTCATCAAATATTTATTAAGCCCTTTCTATGGGTCTGGACACTGCTGCAGGCATTATGAATAAAGCAGTGAGCCAAACAGGAAAACACCCTGACCTTATATTATAAGTAATATAAGGGCTTAGCATCATTGCCTCATATGTTACTCAATAAATGTCTTTTTTTTTTTTCATTTTATTTTTTAAAGTTTATTTATTTATTTTTAATTTTTTTTTAACGTTTATTTATTTTTGAGACAGAGAGACAGAGCATGAATGGGGGAGGGTCAGAGAGAGGGAGACACAGAATCCAAAACAGGCTCCAGGCTCCAGGCTCCAGGCTCCGAGCTGTCAGCACAGAGCCCGACGCAGGGCTCGGACTCACAGACCGTGAGATCATGACCTGAGCCGAAGTCAGCCGCCTAACTGACTGAGCCACCCAGGCACCCCAAAGTTTATTTTAAGAGAGAGAGAAAGTGCATGTGTCTCGTGAGTAGGGGAGGGGCAGAGACAGAGACAGAGAGAATCCCAAGCAAGCTCCACACGCTGTCAGCACTGAGTCCCAACTCCCAACTCGGGGCTCGAACCCACAAACTGTGAAATTATGACCTGAGCCCAAACCAAGGTCGAATGCTTAACCGACTGAGCCACCCAGGTGCCCCTCAATAAATGTTTTTAAGTAAATTTATTAGTGGGCACCTGGGTGGCTCAGTCGCTGAAATGTCCGACTTCAGCTCAGGTCATGATCTCACGGTCTGTTTGAACCCCGCATCGGGCTTTGTGCTGACAGCTCAGATCCTGAACCGTGCTTGGGGTTCTGTGTCTCCCTCTCTCTCTCTGCCCTTCCCCTGCTTGCGTGCTCTCTCTCTCAAAAATAAACATTAAAAAAAATTTTAATAAATAAATGAATATTAAACAATAATTTATTAAACAATTTGAATGTAATAAGGTTTCATAGTGCCATATCTTATGTTTTATTGACCTTATTTTTTCAACTGTAATTTCTAACACTTGATAATGGGGCCAATCTCTATTATACCTAAAATGCTAGTACTTCTTCAGGCAGTTAGCACTTTGCATGAGAAAATCAATCAATGTCAAGGCTATAGGTGCAAGATTTGAGAAGTATAGGGTTTTTTTTTTTTTTACATTTTTTTTATTTATATATGAAATTTATTGTCAAATTGGTTTCCATACAACACCCAGTGCTCATCCCAAAAGGTGCCCTCCTCAATACCCATCACCCACCCTCTCCTCCCTCCCACCCCCCTGAGAAGTATAGGTTTTAACTAGAGTCCAGTAACTACCAGGAAGTCACGTGAGAATCACACTGACCAGGGGAGGTAAGAAAGACAGATAGCTCTCAAGTATATTTGCCTTTTAAAAGAGAGTCCTTGTTAGCCCCAAATGACTAAATCCTTAACAATAGAATTTCAAGTAGTAGTTAAAATGAAACAAAGACTCTCACACCCATTAGGAGATGACTACTATCAAAGAAACAGAAAAAGACAAGTAATGTGGGGATGTGGACAAATTGGAGCCTTTGTGCACTGTTGGAGGGAATGTGAAGTAGTACAGGCGCTGTGGAAAAGTTTGGCAGTTCCTCAAAAAATTAAAACCATATGATCCAGGAATTCCACTTCTGGAATTGAAGAAGGGTTAAACAAGCCAAAAACGGATCCAAAATGGAGTCACTCGTGCTAAGCGCGTGTCAACAAACCAAGACTTAAAATCTAACCTAATTTCTGTTTCAGCCCCTCCCAGGAATGTACTCTTAACTGGTCAGGCTAGTGAGGTAACCTTGTGGGCACCAGTGAGGCAATCTGCCTGAAAGACTCTTCCGTCTCCCAAAGAAAGATAGGTAATCTAATTTTTCCTCATCCCTGCCAACTTTCTGTCTATAAAAGCTTTCCATTTGGGGTCACCTGGCTGGCTCAGTCAGTAGAACATATGACTCTTGATCTCAGGATTGTGAGTTGGAGCCCCGTGTTGGGCATAGAGATTTAAAAAAAAACAAGGCTTCTAGCGGCGCCTGGATGGCTCAGTCTGTTAAGCGTCCAATTTTGGCTCGAGTCATGATCTCACAGTTTGTGAGTTCAAGTCCCACATCAGGCTCTGTGCTGACAGCTCAGAACCTGGAGCCTGCTTCAGATTCTATCTTCCTCTCTCTCTGCCCCTCCCCTGCTCGTACTCTTTCTCTCTGTGTCTCTCAAAAATGAATAAAAACATTAAAAAAAATTTTTTAAAGCCTTCTATTTTGTATGCTCAGCCCCTTTCTACTTGCTAGATGGGATGCTGCCTGATTCATAATCAT